AAAGTTTGAGTAAGTGCGGGATTCTTTTCTTCTTAAACATAAAATAAATAAAATTTTAAGCCATTTTTTCCAATCGAAGAGGTGTTGTCGCAGTGGCAAAGGTGACTGAAAATGCCTTTATAAGTCTTGTGTTAGAAGCCTGCTCGTGATAACTTTATGGGAAATTTTCCAAAAGATTTAAACCGTCTTGTTGAACGGTTTGTATCGGTCCAAATGGTTCTATCGATTTTGAATGGTTCAACTATTTTATCAGTTTTAAACCCTAATTCAAGCTGTTTATTGTATCAAGTATCAGTCTGACCGGTTTAACCAACTAGTCCGATCCGATTTTTAAAACATTGTGTGAAATGCCACATTATATTTTTTATTTTTATATTTTTCATATCATTTATACAAAAAAGATAAATTAGACAATTCCATTAATTAACTTATCATATCAGTTAAAACTTAATGAAGGGATTAAAAAAGGGATAGAATTTCAAACGGTAAGAACCAAAAAAAGAGATTTTTTCAATATAGAGACTAAAAAGAGCTTTTTCTTTATAGTAGAGGGACCAAAAAAAGCATTTAACCTTAGTTAAAAGGGCATTTTACCTTAGTTAAAAGGGCATTTTACCTTAGTTATATCAAGGAAGACTTGCATGCTCGTCAACACCTCGTGCATTTTGAGATGTTTACTGTTGTTAAACTGCTATCATACAGGTTCACTCAATAAATAGTTATGATAGAATCTCACATCGATAAGATGTGATGATAATAAGTAGAATATAAATTTGGAGAATCATGAACTTAATAGGTTAGTTTTATGAGTTTAAGAGTGCCATCTTAAACTAATATGTATTTAGGTTGAAAACATGTGTAACACGATGATTGACTCATCTAGTATTTTGATGATAAATAGCACAAGCAATCATGTTGCCATTAAATATTGTTAGCAACTTCCATAAGTTCTTTTCTTTTTCTTTTTTGATTAAATTCTTCTATTTGCTAAATACTCAATCATTCATTTCTACGCTGGCTTTTCAAAGGTTCAGATTTGTGGCATGGTATTTGGGGATGGTGAAGTCATGATCCATATTGACCGGGAGTATGAGATCAAAATTGCATTGTAATTGCATGTCCTCTCTGTTTGGTTACTGAGAAAGTAGAGGACAATTGAAGATAATTACCTAGCCCCATTTCGTGGACCAAATGACTAGGATACATGCACCGTGCTGAAATCTTGTTGACATTAGCGGAGGTAACGACAATTCTGTTTTAGGTGAAGAAGCCAAGAGAGCATACAAGTCAAAGAACCCATTCCATGGGGCAGTCTTCTATTGCAAGTTATTGCTAAAACGAAAGCTGGGAATGAGGTGTTCTTGACTTGTTAAAGTCTTTGTATTTTACTTTGTAGTTTTCTTTTTTTTCTTGCTAATATTAGTTCCCGTAGAAATTAATGCCTAACTACTCTATTTTTCCAGGGTGGTTGGGACTGCTTGAAAGAGAGAGCTGTTGTAAGAAATTGGAAGGCTTGCATGCTAGTCAACATTCAAGACTTGTGTTCTTTTAAAGCTCCCACCATAAAGGTTTTATTGTTTTATTCCTGAAAACTTGCAAAGAAATGGACATTCTTTTTTTAAAGTTTATTGTCATCATCCTCTTACTGTTTTTCTTTACTAGATTCTCTTATGGAACTGATATCATCACCTTATCCACCAATCTTAGTGATGGTAGAACCTTAGTTTCTAGTGATGAAAGCTTTGAACTGGGGTTCTTCAGTTCTGGAAGCTCTGCCAAGAGCCGTTACTTGGGAATTTGGTACAAGAATATCCCAGTTAAAACTATTGTTTGGGTTGCAAACAGGTGTAACCCGATTAATGACACATCTGGCATTTTGATGATAAACAGCACAGGCAATCTGGTACTCCTCAATCAAAGCAGCGGGAGTGTTGTCTGGGCAGCAAACTCAAAGAAAGAAGCTCAAAATCCAGTAGTGCAGCTCCTGGATTCTGGAAATCTTGTTCTACAGGACAGAAATGCTGGTATTTTGTGGCAAAGCTTTGACTATCCAACTGATACCATGCTGCCAGAGATGAAACTTGGATGGGACTTACGGACAGGTCTTAATCGACAAATATTCGCGTGGAAGTCCCCAGATGATCCATGCCCAGGAGACTTAATTTATGGGGTAGTGCCATATAATAATCCTGACACTGTTGTTCGGAAAGGCTCGAGAGAATACTCTCGGATAGGCCCCTGGAATGGCATTGGAATGAGTGGTGCAATCCAATTGAAGCCAAATCCGTGGTTTACGTACAACTTCGTCTCAAATGAAGAGGAGGTTTACTACATTTTTTTCCTCAAAAACAAATCAGCAATCACAAGGCTTATTGTGAACCAAACTACCA